ACCTTCGCTGCCCTCACAGAAGAGAATGTGTACGGGCTAGTGCCAATTGTAAAAGAAGAATGTCTGAACCATGTTCAGAAAAGGATTGGAAGTGCTCTTCGAAACATTGTGCAGAAAAGTGATAAGCCACTGAGTGGGAAGGGGAAGCTGACTAAAGCCCTCATTGAAAAGCTGACAGGATATTATGGTTGGGGCCTGAGAAACAATTCAACTGACCTAACAGCCATGCAGCGTGCAGTGATGGCAACATATCACCACGTCACATCGACTGACCAGGACCCTCACCATGAACTTTGCCCAGAGGGGGCTCAATCGTGGTGCCGCCATAGAGCTGCAGAGGCAAAGCGTGAGCCACAGCCAAAACATAAACACAGCCTACCGGACTATGTCGCTGCAGCTATGCTGCCCATCTACGAAAGACTGTCACAAAAGTCGCTTCTTCAGCGCTGCCTGGGAGCGAAGACGCAAAATGCATCAGAATCATTCCACTCCATTCTGTGGTCTCTGATGCCGAAGGAACAACACTCATCCTTGATCGCGGTAGAAACAGCACTGCATGAAGCAGTGCTGCGCTACAATGCCGGCTGCTGCAAAGCAACCCAAGTGATATCGGACTCCATTGGACTTCAACCAGGTCATCTGGCCATCCAGCGAGCTCGTGAAAAAGACGCTTTACGCCTAAAAAAGAATTCTAAAAGACACCAAGAGAAGATGGAGGCCAGGCAAAAGAAGAAAAGAGTGCGCCAGGACACTTCTAGCTACTGTGCTGGAGCTTTTTGAAGAAAACACGTGTTTTGAACTTTCTCGGCCTGTTTTCTCAGAACGGATTTTTTTGCTAGTTGTGGTGCTGAGGAAAGCAAGAACTCGAAAACCGTTCATCAGATTTGTGTGCCGTTTTTTTATTCTGTTCCTGAATGACCTTGCAAGGGCGTAACAAGCTCCTTTTTTTGAAAATTGGTGCTGTTAATTTATAATAAACAATTAATTTTTTGATGAATCTGGTCATTACTGGTTACATCAAATTCAAAGTTGCGTGAAAATTTTGGGGGGGGGGGGAAATTAAAAAAAATGGCTTTGTAGCGCCCTGGGATAGCTATCAAGGAATGACCACAATGAATTTCAGCTTTCTACTATGTCCTGAGATTTCTCACGACTCTTCCTCAGGCACCCATGTGAAGCACCCAGTTAAACCTCAATAACTCTGGAACTAAGAAACACAGCTTCGTGAAACTTAGCAGTTGTGCTAGTTTTATTGTAGTGAACAACCCCTGAAAGTTTTATCCAGATATCTTAAAAAATAAAAAAGTTCGGTCTCCAAAGTAGCCTCCCCCCTTAAGACCTGTTCTCGCTCACTTCGCACTTGGCTCAGCGTGCCCTCCGCACGCGTGTGCAAGCGTAAGAACAGCTGTTCATTTGCGCGGAAAAAATCGCGACATATCGAAGTCGGTGAGGCCCCGTAAATCCACTGGCGCACCAGAACGATTCTCTGACCACGGCCGCCGATGCATTGCACACAGCCACGCACGCCGATCCAGGCGGCCGTGCTTTGCGCGCGCAGGAACTCTTTCAAGTTTTAAAGACGATAATCTTTGTTGGGGACCTTTGACGAAAAAATTTTGGTCTGTCTGCCTGTACATTTGTCTGTTTGTCCGCCCTAATGATAGCTCAAACGGCACCGAAAGGCCAACCCTATTCGCAGCGCCCACCGATATTACTCAAGGTTAAACGTTCATAGTTGTGCGATTGTCAATTAAAAAGCAATTATTGCGCATATCTGAGGTGCCATAACAATACTTCGAAGTTTTGTATGTCTGCTTTTATACCAGAAGAGGCACACACAAGTAACTCTAAGGAATGTAGCGTTTTAGCGCGCTGCGCTGACAGTGCAACGCGATGCTCAAAAAGTTGTTTCAACGCTTTGCTACGACGTCACGGTGGTGGCACCTGCCCGTCGCTTTGCGTTATACATCTCATCACCTCCGAGACAGGCGCGCATCTTTCTCCACGGGCTGCACGCCTTCGTTTTCGAAAATAACTGCCAGATGGCACTTGTGTCTAACGTGCCTCGATGCGCTCGTTCGCCTCCGCTACACGCTGGAGGCACTCTAACGCAGCGCCTCCAGAATACCCTTCACCGATTTTCTTGCGCAGAACATCAAATAAACGTTTTGTTCACTCACCCCAGACGCAAGACTATCGTCTTTCGACTACATTTGCAGTGTAACATGCAGATTTCGAACCAATTTTTTCTACGCGCATGTTTCGCGGACCTTTCAAGCAAGCTATCCGACCTGCCTCCTTCCCGTTTGTTCAAGGTCGCCTTCCCGCCGTATCCTCCCCTCTCTTCATCCTATTGAAACTCCTTGTCCTTCTCTTGCAATTCTGCTTTCCTCTCTTGATAACAACTCCTTCCCCCGTCTCCACCGCACCGCAATGCCAGCCACGCTGGCTCGAATTCGGAAGTTTCGTTTTCGGACTAGAAACGGGCCCAGAGATGTACCGCGCGTTCTGGCATCTGTGTCGCGTGTGCGCGTCTTGCTCGCTCTTGGTGTGCGCGTGTGTGATCAAGATGGCGGACGGGAGGCCTTGCACGCTTTTTCCTGCCGCTCAACAAAATGTTGGAAGTGGGACCGCTTGGCTTGGACGTAATTCGCACGTTAGGTGCCGCATTGCGGAGTGCTTGATCATAGCTGTTGACCACCTGGCAGCCAACTTGCCTCTTCGGGCGTCCCGGTATTCAGATGTGGAGATTGTGAATATTTCGTGGGCGGCGGTGATGGCTACATACGCGCGAAACTGTTTTCACGAGGCTGACTTCGTCGACGACGAGCCCGATGCAGAGCCCAACACTTCCGAACAGAACCACTACAGCAGCGATTTGTGGCAACGCGTCGACTTCGACATGGGAGAGCAGGTGGGACATCTGTTGCGATGGTTTTTCATTACGGCCAATGATGATGCCGGCACCGCGGAACCGTGCACGGATTAAGGCATTGTGAATGAAGTACGCGGCAAGAGCGATTTGAAGGAATCGGACGACGAAACTTTGGAGTCAGTGCCTCATGCAGCTTATGCTACGGCCCTTGGCGCGTGGCATAAGCTGCATGAGGCCTGCCGTTTGAAATAACTCTAGACCGCTCTTATCGCTTCTGCTAGTTAACCCTAGCTGCCAGAAAATTTGGAATTGATCTTTCTTAGTTTTGTATATTTTATGAAAATTGCTCATTTTCTTTCTTTTCAAATGTATTTCTGTGTAATACTTAGTATTCTGTCTAAAAATTTCTCATGCTGTCAGTTTTTATATAGTTTTTTATCTTGCTACTGCAAATTAGTCGACTGTAACGCATTATTTTAAAACATATCTTTCGACATCAGTTATACTTTTTTAATTTGATTTTTGTGTCCCCTCATTCAATGTAAGAAAGTAAATTTATATCTTTTGTTCCGATGCAAAAGAGCAAATGAATGGGTGGAGAGACCTTAATCAGGCAGCGGTAGTCCCTCTTCGAAACACGTGCGTTACCGACTTTTTGGGGCAATGAAATTTGTGTATTCACTCGCAACTTTTTATAAGCTGTGTTTCATTTACCATGAACTTCGGCATACAGCTAACGGATGCCTCGTCAGGCTCAGCTTCGTTATAAGCGGGCTCAACTGCTTTTGTTGGGGTTTCCTTATTGTCTCTTCTGATATTAATCCATTCCACGTCAGTCACGTTCTGGCTCTTCCATTCTTCCAGAAGTTCAGTTTCGGTCAGGTCAAGCAAATCTGCGTCAGATACTACCCTACGAGCTGATCTCATAGACCTGTGTGGCGTAATACTGATTGGTGTGTCGCCAAAAGTTGTAAGAGACTACAGCTTTTCAAAATGGTCTTTCTCCTATACCTCAAGAAGCTGATCTCCGCTGCACATTTTCGTAACTTTGTACCTGGCACGGAGAGTTTCTGTTAAGACACCTGGCAACTACGAAGGGTGATGCACTTGTGGCTTGCTTATTAGTTCTCATAGTGTATTACATGGAAATGAGAAAATATTTCTCTTGGCTGGTTGGAAAAATTCGTCTTCGGTGCGTACCCACTTTGAGGAGGCACGATCACTAAGCAAGGGGAATGCTCTATGCATGCTGGTTGTATGTTGTTCAGCAGCGTTGGCGGCCACCCATCACGGAGCTCGACGAGGGGATGCTACAAGTTTGCGGATGCTGAAAGCTTGCAGACGCCAGCCATACAACACTGCCATAACCCAATGCGCCTGGACCCAGATAGGCTATTTGCGCAGAGTTAACCCTAGCTGCCAGAAAATTTGGAATTGATCTTTCTTAGTTTTGTATATTTTATGAAAATTGCTCATTTTCTTTCTTTTCAAATGTATTTCTGTGTAATACTTAGTATTCTGTCTAAAAATTTCTCATGGTGTCAGTTTTTTATATAGTTTTTATCTTGCTACTGCAAATTAGTCGACTGTAACGCATTATTTTAAAACATATCTTTCGACATCAGTTATACTTTTTTAATTTGATTTTTGTGTCCCCTCATTCAATGTAAGAAAGTAAATTTATATCTTTTGTTCCAATGCAAAAGAGCAAATGAATGGTTGGAGAGACCTTAATCAGGCAGAGGTAGTCCCTTGAACCTAGGCACTCTTTCATTTATCTGAATGAACACTGAATGAATGAATGAATGAATGAATGAATGAAGTAAATGTAAAAGAGAAGATGAGGGGACAAATAAAAAGTAGCAGATAAAGATGTAGAGAGACAGAGACAGTAAGAGGTGACTGCCAATTTCCCCTGGGTGGGTCAGCCCAGGGGTGCACTCTACGTGAATCCGGGGTCAAAAAACTTTGTTGCCTCTGCCAGGTGGGGGGGGGGGGGGGGGGGGGCTTAAAGGTCCAATCACCTGGCATCACAAAATAATGGACATGAAAGGTCAGCATAATGCCCCTGCCAATTCCTACAGCAAAGTAAAAGTTTCTTTTATATGTGTACAAAATAACAAACCTTGTCAGGCTGCAAGGATGTGGCAGCGCAAGTTGGTGATCTGGGATCCCACAACTTCACAGTTGAGTCCCAGCTGCCAGAGATAATCACGTTGACATCAGAGCAAAATTCAACACATCGCACCGTGTCCCTGTGCCTTCCAACAACAGTCTCTGCACTGCAGTTGAAGTCGAAGGACTTGACCAAACAGTCACCGCCTCCACTCCAGGCATGCACGGCGTCCTGAAAAGCAAAATTTCAGCAGTATTGTTGGACACAACATAATGAAACCAACAGTCTATGTAGCCAAGAAAGGCATCGGATATATCATTTGTAGTTTTTCAACTGCAGTGTAACAATTATGATATAAATGTCAGGAAATCAAAGCGGACAAAAAAGGCATAAAAGAGACCAAGAGAGTAATGGCAAGCATAGTAAGTACTGTCGTAGTGGATTTAGCAAGAGACAAGCGACCAACTCAGCATGTAGTGTTTGAAATAATTATAGGTGTTGTACGTTGTGTGCCACCTCACACCAACATAGGAGAAAACAAATAAACAAGCAACTAATAATCATCGTATAGTGCAAAAACACAATATACACAGAAAGGTAGACCACCGGTACTGTGTATATGTGTTTTGTGTTTTTGTGCTGTATGATTATTAACTAGCACAAACTAGGCCAAGAACAAGTGCTTCTGTAAAACCGACAACTGCTGATCAGACTGGAAGTACTAAAATAGTTACTTTTCCAGTGTTTTAATTTAAAGAGATGTGAATATTTAAAAACTATCGATGTGAATACTCTTTTTAATTAATGAACTTGAAACAAACAAAATAAACACAACCTTCGTCCGTAAACTTCCGAGGCTTAAAAAAAAAGTTTAACGTTCAAATCATTTGTGCAGCACCCCTGCGAAATAGTCTCCCCTGCAGTCTATACATAACTGCCAACACTTCGTGAGGTTTTGGAAACAGTTCGAAATTGCTTCTTATGGCAAGACTGTCAGCTCTTTCGTCGTGGCATCTTAAATGGCTTCCACTCTCCCCATCTAGCAACCTTTTAGGGCTGATGATGATGTGTGGTGTTTTACGACGCAAGGGCCATTTGATGGCCAAAGAGCGCCAGGTCAGTCGAAGTGATGCGAACAATGATCATGTTAGGTGGCTTTAAAAGAGCCTTAAAATTTCTCGTGCTAGCGCGGGTAAAAAGACAGAAGCATTAAAAGCATGAAATTGACGTGAAATATGTGCAATGATACTAAATGGTGAAACGTCGTAATAGCGGGACAATGACTGAGATGCAGCCACTGTGGCCGCGACCTCTCTTCAGAGATCGTGCTACGGAGTGCCTGGGTATATGGCGTTAAAGGTACAAACATCTGTTAAAAACGCCAGCAACGATTTATGAGGGAAAAGGGGTTCTCTACCGATGAACATTGATGGGTGCAAGGGTATCTGTTGTCGGTAGGGATATAAAAAGTGCTTTCTTCTGAGAGAATTCAAATCACTGCACTGGACGAGGATGTGCAGAACCGTGAGCGGTTCTCCACATCTCTCACACAATGGTGCATCGCCACCAGACAAAAGGTATGAATGTGTCGAGTGTGTGTGTCCTATCTGTAGTCTTGTAAGTGTGACTTGTGTGTAGCGTGATCTGGATACTGTTGGCCGATTTCCAATTCTCGGTTTGACAACATGCATTTTGTTTTCTGTCTGCCTATCCTATAGGCGCTGCCAGCATGCCCTGAGCTCTTGTCGTAGAAATGGTTTCAGATCAAGCGCAGGGATAGATACAGACGTATTGGCGCCAGCGTTGTCTTAAAGCAGATGTGGCCAGCTGATCCGCCAAGACGTTTCCAGCGATTTCGCGGTGCCCCGGCACCCAGAAGACTACAACATGTCGTTTAGGAGCATAGATCGTGCATAATAGAGAGTACAAGGATACAAGAACCGGATTTTTATGTCTTCGCAGAGTTTCAGAGCCATCACTACGCTCAGCGAATCTGTGTATATTACCGCGCGTTTTAGTTGGTTTCCTAATATGCTTTAACAGCCACAGATACCGCATGAGCCTCTGCTGTGAAGATGCTTGTTTCAGAGTGCAGAATACCGGAGTTGGAGAAAGATGAGCCAACAGCTGCATAATAGGGCAAACCAGTGTGAGACTTCGAAGCATCTGTGAAAAATTCTGGGCAAGTGTACTTGAGTAGGAGTTCGAGGAAGTGCGTGCGGATATGTACAGAAGGTGCAAGGTTTAGTGACTTCCATGAAAAATAGATTGCAGTCTATGACTTGCCACTTCCATGGTGGCAGATATACTGCTGGAGCCATCAAACGCTGTTCTAAAAGTGGCACAGCTGTTTCCTCCGCGAGCCTCCTGACATGAAGTGAGTAGGGCTGTCTCAGCGAAGGACGGTTATTGAACAAGGTACAGTTAGACAGATCATTAATTGTGGAGTGAGCGGGATGTTCCTCATCAGCATTAACCTTAAGATAGTATGTAAAAGACAGGTAACATCTCTGCAGGTGGAGCGACCATTCATTTGATTCTACGTACAGCCTCTCTACGGGGCTAGTTCGAAAAGCACCCGTAGAGAGGCGGATGCCTAGATGGTGGACAGGGTCGAGAATCTTTAAGGCTAATGGTGTCGCAGACTGATAGATTATAGCTCCATAATCTAGGTGCATGCGTACGAGGCTTTTATATAAATTCATCAGACATTTCCTGTCACTGCCCCACGAAGTTTGTGATAATACCTTCAAAATATTGCCGCATTCAACCTGCAGAGGAGAGCTCGCACAGCCAGAGAGGAAGACGAAGCTCTTGCCCGGTCCTCTTTCCGAGCGCCTTTCATTTTTTAATTAAAGTGAGCTCTTCTATATCGAACTCCTGCTGTGTCTGCGTCGTGACACTGGTGGAGGAGCTGGGTACATGTCCAGGACACCTTCCAACAGCCCGAAATCTAGTCCACAAAGACTTCCGCTCGTCGAAACACCCGTTCACCGCGCCAGCCGCCACCTGTTAGGCCTGAGCCCAGAGTTCGGTCCTTGGACGGAAAACATGACCGCGCCGGGAAGCAGTTGCCCCACCATGACGAGCCCAAGCACGACACAGGTGACTGTTTTCACCCCTAAAACTCCTGTGGACTTTCATGGCAACACATATGAGGACGCAGATGACTGGCTTGAGGAGTTCGAGCGCACAGCCAATGTTAACGGTTGGAACGCCGCACAGAAGTTGGGGTACGTGTATTTCCCTCTTCAAGACGGGGCTCGCACGTGGTTCACAAATCGCGTGTGGTCAACGTGGGGCGAGTTCCGGCGGAAGTTCCTGGACACCTTCGCAAACACCGAAAGGCGGGAGCAGGCACAACGACTCCTTGAATCACGGATACAAAAGCCCAACGAGTCTGTTGCAATGTTTGTTGAGGACATGGCTCGTCTCTTTCATCGAGCCGATCCCGATATGTCCGAGAACAGAAAGATCAGCCACCTCATGCGTGGTGTTAAAGAGCAGCTGTTTGCTGGTCTCGTACGGAACCCACCTTCAAGCGTCGACGAATTTTCGAAGGAGGCGACCGCCATAGAACGCGCACTACAGCTACGGTACCGCCAGTACGACCGTCCAAACAACAGCGGACAAATCAGCGCAACCGCCGTGACCACCGTGACACCTGACGAGCGTTCTTTGCGTGACATGATACGCGAAATTGTACAAGAAGAGGTGAAGAAGCTCGCTGCCACACCGAATGACTGCGCGATTGCGTCGGTCACAGAAGTTGTTCGCCAAGAAATAAGGCAAGCGCTTTCACTTCCCGAGCCGAACACTGAAATAGTTAGGCCAACGTATGCAGATATTCTCCGTCGACAGCCTAGATCTAACGTGCCGCCACCTCAACAGTACCACCAGCAACAGCCGCCGACAGTGCCTTGGTACTACAGGGAAACGTCAACGCCGATGCGACCCCCACTCCGCAAAACCGACATATGGCGTACCCCTGACTACAGGCCCCTGTGCTTCCATTGTGGGGAAGCAGGCCACATCGTGCGGTATTGTCCTCATCGCGTTGCCGGGTATCAAGGATTTCCGTCCACTACCCCTCGGCGCTATTTCGACGGAAGACGCAACGTTGAAACGAGCGCGCCGATCCCGCGAGACGTTTCTTCTGGGTTCCGGTCACGCTCGCCCTCCCCAGGTCATTTTCCCCGATCTAATAGGGGTAGCACCACGGACATGGCGAGAGGAAGGTCTCCCAGTCCACGCCGGGGAAACTAAAAGCAGCGACCTTAGGGGGGAAGGTTGCGAATTGCCGAAGATTTGAAAATCCCCCATTACCGCCGCATGAAGTGCCGCACATTTTGAATGAACCGACGAAAGACGAGATTGTCACCGCCGACATTACACTTTCAATTGACGGTCACGACGTGACCGCACTGGTCGACACTGGTGCGGACTTTTCAATAATGAGTGCGAATCTGGCCGACCAACTCAAGAAGGTAAAAATGGAATGGACGGGGCCGCAAATTAGAGGAGCCGGAGGCCAGCTGCTGACACCTACCGGAAAGTGCACCGCACGAATCAAGATTGGGGATTCATCATTCGTGGCAAGCTTCGTTATTCTTGCTGAGTGTTGTAAACAGGCCATCTTGGGTATGGATTTCCTGCGGGAGTACGGTGCCATTATAAATATACCGGACGGTGTACTGACCTTCTCAGCGGACCATAGTGCAGTGCTGCAGCGCAAGCCCATGCGCGTGATTGACGACGTGACCATGCCACCGTTGTCATGCCGCCTCGTCTCTGTCACGTGTAACACGCAGCATAGTGGAGAAGGTGTCGCGGAACAAATATCGACGCTTTTACTCTCTCGAGGAATCGCTATTGCCAGAAGTCTCGTCAGTGTAGTGTCTGGGCAAGCAGAGGTCCTGTTGACAAACTTCAGCAACGAGCGTCGACACATTGCAGAGGGTACCAGAGTTGCATACTTCGAAGAAATTGTAGAATTCCGCGAGTGCTTCGCAGTACAACAGGCAGAGACACCGGCCGCTTCAACACCACAGCCTGTCGACGTGAGCACAGATTTATCGCCAGCGCAGAGGCAGAGTCTTCTAGATATTCTCGGCCAGTTTGAAGATTGTTTTTCGTCGACCTCAAGGGTAAATCAAACGCCACTGACAAAGCACCGAATTATAACGGAAGAGACGGCAAGACCAATTCGACAAAACCCATACCGCGTGGCA